TAAATTCCTCAAATATGTCAAATTTTGCAGTTTTGTATACTAAGTTATAAATGCTGCATTTTATGTCGTTCAATCAGTAAAAGGTTGTTTGAAACAAAAGTACATACTGCATATATTTGAAGTTTTTCAAAAATTTCTGTTTTTCCTAAGAAAAAACCCTAAAAAAATTTCCTCTGTGGCTTCAAAATTTCGAGAAATGTTACATCTCGAAGGGAGACATGGGTTCTCTCTCCTGACAGTCATTTCAGGTGGGTCGCCATGTTAGTCTGTAGTAACAGAACAAAATTCAAGTCCAGTAGCACCTTAGGTAAAGGTTCCCTTGCTCGAAAGCCAGTCGAGTCCAACTCTAGGGTTGCAGTGCTCATCTCCGTTTCAAAGCCGAAGAGCCAGCGCTGTCTGAAGACATTTCCGTGGTCATATGGCCGGCATGACTAAACACCAAGGTGCATGGAATGCTGTTACCTTCCCACCAAAGTGGTACCTATTTATCTACTTGCAATTTCTTGCTTTCGAACTGCTAGGTTGGCAGGAGCTGGAACTAGAGACGGGAACTCACTCCGTCATGTGGCAACTCGGGTCTCGAACTGCTGAACTACTGACCTTCCACAGCCTGCAGTTCAGCGTCTTAACCACTTGAGCACCTTAGAGATCAACAAAATTTTCCAGAGTATAAGCTAGCATGAGTCAAAGCTTACTTTGTCAGATACAAGAAAGAATAAAGATTCTCTTCTGATGAGTGTCAATGTGTTGATTGTGATAGGCAAATTGCAACGGAGAAATATAGAGTTTTCTAGCTTTCTGTTCTGGACCTAGTGCATTTCTTTGAAGAGGACAAAACCTACAGAAACTCTTGATATACTGCCATCATCCACCTCTGATCTATTTTTCTCAGAGTTGGTGGTATTCTTCATTTTTTAAAAAATATATATATACATATGGACTTACACCTCCCAGTTCCTTAAGATCTTTTGCTATTTTTTCAGAAAGGACGTTGGATGGAATATCAAGATAAAACACCTTCCCAGTAAGTGGTTTGTGTCTTAATTTATCTGATTTTGTAGAATCTTTCTTCACAATTTTCAAGGGAGGTTTACTTCCATCTGGTCTTCCTTGCATATCACCTATAAGCATAAAAGAAAGTTTAATCAGGACTTAAGTATGTTTGTGTATGTGGGGAATTTCACATTACCCTTTTAAAGCCGGTTTTAAGCCGTTATTGATCCGTCTTGGAGTAAACCGGTACAGGGCTGCCATTTCACACAAGCCTTTTCCCTACCAGTAAAGAGCCGTCTCTGAAGCAGTTTGCATTTCAGACTGCACTGCTTTTTCCCGCCCCTTTTCACCCACGCGGGCAATCGCCATCTTTTTTTAACGTTCATTTTAGAGTGCTATAGCGCTATAGCACAACAGCAAAATAGCACTATAGCAACCCCATTGGAATGCCTGGACTCCACTGGGATACATAAGATGGCTACATCTGCCACCTGGAAACAAGTACCCCACTGGATACAGCCTTCAAACGGGAGATCAGGGCATCAGTGATTTTTACCAATCAGCGTCGAGGGATTGTATGGGCAGCAATGACAGGTGCCTATGCCCTGACAGATGCCCTCTGATTGTACCTGGGGGGTGCATGGCAATTCTCCCCCCCCTCCTCCTGCTAGAGAGATGAAGGAAGTGCGTAAGCACCTCACTCAAAGCTGCTGTGCTGCTGATCATCATTTGCAACACCTCCAGGATCAGTTGCAACAAGGTAGTTATGGACAGTGTTCCCTCTAAGCTGAGTTAGTGGGAGCTAGCTCACAGTTTTTTGTGAGCCTCCGGCTCCCACATTTTTGTCTCAGCTCAGGAAGGACAGCTCCGGAGCAAACTAATTTATGCAGCAGCCAAATCGCTCACTCACAGCTTTAATGCCTGCAGCTCACAAAGTAGGATTTTTGCTCACAAGATTCCACAGCTTAGAGGGAGCATTGGTTATGGAGACCATGACTAATAGATCAGTAACCTCTCACACAGTCACACAAAACCACTGTAACCACATAAGCCTACCACTCACCAACTTCAACTCACAAAGATAAGGGGCTTGCCTCCCTGCCCTTTATACCTGACCCAGCTCTGTGTCAGTCACTTCCCAGCCAATCGCCTCTTGGCATGGATGGGTGCACTTCAGGCTGGGTTAGCAACATCGGTCTCACCAATCAGTGATGCCCTGATCTCCCGCTTGAAGCCTGTATCCAATGGGGTACTTGTTTCCAGGTGGCAGATGTAGCCATCTCATGTATCCCAGTGGAGTCCAGGCATTCCAAATGGGGTTGCTATAGTGCTGTTTTGCTGTTGCGTTATAGCGATATAGTGCTCTAAAACGAACGTTTTTTTTAAAAGACGGAGATCGCCCACGTGGGTGAAAAAGGGCGGGAAATCGCACTTCAGAAACGGTACAAGAAATTGAAGACCGCTTGAAAGCAGTTTACAGGTAAAACGCTTCAGCCACGTTTCCTGAATGGGACAGAAACGTTTCTGTCTGAAAGTGAAGATTTTTGGTAGGGAACCGTTACTAAAACGGTTCTGTCTGAAATGTCAGAGCAGAAACCGTTAGGGAACCGTTCCTGTACCGAAATATATGGGCTGTCTGAAATTCCCCTATGTATGCTAACCAAAGTAAATACATTCTGTTGAGAAAAGCAAAGCCACATTTTTAGGAAAAAAACCAACTGGATTTATTGAGGCTCTGCTTATCTTCTTATACACATGTGTAAGAACATCAGCAGGTCTCAGGCTTGCATGCCTGCTATCTTATGTGTCTTATGCAATGCTTAAATAATGAGAACCTCAGTTGGAACCACAGAAATATGCAAGTTCCATGTTCATATATACATAGTATCTATTGGTTTACACATTACACTCTGCATGCACGGGGGGGGGGGGGGGAGAGAATGTGGTGAGGTATACGATTAGGTGCCAGTCCCACCACATTTCGAAGTTCCAGAGACTGAATGCAAGGTTGTTATTACAGAGGATTATAATAAAATAGACCAGACTAGCCTGGTTTTAGAGAATTTCTGTAAACTGTAATGGAGCTGGTTCTTTCTTTTTATCCTGTGGATATGCCACTCATGTGTTGTATAAGTGCTTACTAGCAGTCAAATTAGTAAAAATTCATGATCCATGGTTATATGTTACTTGTCATTAGCTCCCCTCACTCAAGAATTACAGTAAAAACTAACTCCAGTTTCCTGTGATATATGAACACAGGTGCACAAATTAACCACAATTACTCCCCCCCCCAAGCCAGAGTTCTAAACCCAGTAGAGCACAAAGCTAACTCAAGTTAGCCCACACATCTGCACTTGTATGATACAGGCAGTCAGAGTAACTTTATAACTGCTATTCTTTGCACAGAATGGATTGGGGCAAGGGACACACATTAAACCAGCAACAATTTGGGTTCATGCACGTAGCTGAATGTGATGTCTGAATTTTTTGTTTTCATTTATTAGATATAAATACTTTGCTTTTCTCCCCATTGGGGACCCAAAGCAGCTCACAACATGGTTCTTCCCTTGTCTCTTTTATCCTCAGAACACCTTTGTGAGGTAGGCAAGGCTAAAAGGCTAAAGGTTGTCCAGCAAGTTTCCATGGCAGACTGGAGATTCAGGCCCAAGCCTCTCAGATCCTAGGATTCCAACCACTGCAGCCTTTATTGTCTTCAATACCTAAATATATGGCTGCTCCCAAGACATACAAACATGAAGCAAATTCAGTAGATTACCACAGAATAAACAATTTTAAGAGTCAGCATGGTATAGTGCTTAAGAGTTGTGGATTCTGATCTGGAGAACTGGGATCGATTCTCCACTCCTCCTCCATATGATCTGTTTGACTAAATGGAAATCTAGCCTAAGGAAGTGGCAACAAGATATACAAGTTAACAATAATACTGAGAAGGGAAAAGTAGTTTTAATTTCCAAGAAAGCAACTCCTCCTTCACAAAGTTCCTTCAGCAGCTACATTTTAAAGTCTTAATTGCAAGCAGCTGCTCTGCGTGGCTATATTTATATTCTATCAACACATAGTATGTCTATGCAGAACAAGCTGTGTAACACTGAGATCTGATCTCCTTTATACAATTATCTGCTTATTTACTTTTGAACAAAAACAACCCTACCTTTGAGAATGAAAACAGACTAGCTCTTTTCTGGCACGATTTTCACAAAGCACACCACAACAGCTTCTAGAGCACAGCATTTACATTCACTGATGAATTATCAGAAACGTGAAACAATTAAAAACTGAACACGTGCTCCGACTAAAATGCAAAAGGGGAGCTCCCCAGGCTCCTAAGGAAAACGATGCCTATTACCATGAGAAAGGAACATCGAGACACTTACAGGGAAACTGTCCTTTGCTGCTGCTTTTCAAACCGCTTGGTTTCATTTTCCTGGGAAGTTACATTTTCTCTTCCCACTCCCTGTGACGGTTACTGCCTGCAAGGGAAACAGTTCACAGAAACGGACTTTTAAAAAACGCTTTGGTGGAAGAGGTGGAGTCAGCTAAAGATCCCGAGACGGTCGCCTCCTGTTCCTCCCTTGTGCCCCTCCAGCCTAGTCCTCCCCTCCTCATTTCCACTCACCTTAGCTTCCCCCCCACCCCCACCCCGCGTCCTCCGCCTCCGGGGGCAGCGCCTGGTGTCCAGCGCCGCTTTCCCCCCGCGGCCCCTTTCCGTACCCGCCGCCCGCGGAGGGACGGTTGACGTTTGAACTGTGCGTTCCCGCCGCGTGAGCCGACCGTTGCCCTCTTCCTCCGCCATCTCCTTACCTCACCATAACGGGATCCATGGAGCCCGGCGCGGCCACTCGCGCTCAGTACCTTCGTCTCCCGGCCATAGTTGCTCGCTTTTTCCCGCCTTTGGCCAGCCCGGCCTACCAGAAGCTCCTGGGGCTGGCCTTGCCTTCTTGCTCGGATTGAGCGGCGGCGCCACCCACCGAGGAGGAGCCTCAGCCCGCGGCCCCACTCGCCTCGAAGGGACCTGCCGGGGAGGACTCGGCATCAGCCCCTCGGTCGGGTAAGCGTCGGGCTGCAGGGGGGGGGGGGGGGGGGGGGTGGGAAGAGGGAGCCTTCAGGCTCTCCATGGGGGTGGGGGGGGAGGCGGTTAAGCGGCCTTATGGAAGCGAGGCGCTGTAGGAAATGCCGGAGGAAGAGAATGGGCGTCCCTGAGCGTTGAGTGTGGTCTGCTTTATGGAGGGAGGAAACTGCTTTACTAGGTACGGCAGGAGATGCGCCTGCTCTGCTGCTTGGGAGAGGGGACGGGTCTGGTTAGTAGCGCGCACACACACACACACCCCCCGCGCACTTTCCACATTTATTTGCTTCATTTATAAAAGGCTGAGGCTGAAGGCGGCTTACACAGTGTTAATCAAGGCAACCTGTAGTGTCACGGCCGTTTAATAAGATTAATAATATCTTGATCTTGGTCAGCAGTGATACATTCTTACACTTAAGGATCTTATCTAGCTCCTTCATGACTGCCCTTCCCAGTCTCTCCTTCTGATTTCTTGGTTGCAGACTCCCTTTTGGTTGATCATGGAGCCAAGGAATAGAAAACAATTTAACAGTTTCAATTTCTTCATCATCAACCTTATAGTTGTGTGATTCCTCTGTAGTCTTTACTTTTGTCTTCTTGATGTTCAGTTGTAATCCTGCTTTGGCTTTACCTTTCATCAGAGTTGTTTCAAGTCTTCCCTATATTCTGCCAGTAATGTGATATCATCTGCATACCTCAAACTGAAAGTTCCTTCTCCCAATGTTCTCGCCATCTTCATCAAAATCTAATCCAGCTTCCCTCGTGATAGCTTCTGCGTGTAGATTGAAAAGACAGGAGATAAAGTACATCCTTGTCTTAAAACCTTTGCCATTCTGTTTCTCCATATTCTGTTCTCTTAACAGTAGCTTCTTCAAAGTATAGGTTGTGCATCAAAACAATCAGATGTTGTGGCGCACATGTTTCTTTTAAAACCAACCATAGCTTTTCATGATCCACACAGTCAAAAGCTTTGCTGTAATCTATGAAACACAAGATGATTGACTTGTGAAATTCTCTTGTATGCTCCAGTAGCCACTGTAAATTTGCAATACGATAGTGCCTCTTCCTTTTCTGAATCCAGTTTGAAAATCTGATATTTCTTGTTCCATATATGGTATCAGGTTTTGTTGTAAGATTTTGAGAATCACTTTACTCATGAAAAATTAATGTGATGGTCCAGTAGTTGCTACAGTCTTTGACATCTCCTTTTTTCAGAATTGGAATGTAGATTGAGCATTTTCAGTCTGTAGGCTATTGTTTTATTCTCCATATTTGTTGGCATATTCTTGTTAAGGTTTTGATGAACTCTGTTTCTGTGGCTCTAAATAACTCTATTGATAACCTATTTCTGGTGATTTGTTTCTCCCAATGGCTTTGAGTGCAGCTGTCATTTTACATTATAAAACTGTAGGTTCTTCTTCAAAATAGTCTTCTTTGATGGAATCTGTCATCCTTTCATTTCTTCTGTATAGTTTTTCAAAGTATTGTTCCTATCTTTTCTTTATTTTGTCCTTTTCTGTTAATGTATTTCCACATTGAGTTTTCAGCATGCCTAACTGTGCTTTATATTTTGCCTTGATTTCTTGGATTTTGTGGAACAGATCTGTTTCCTTTTTTGTTGTTCTCTTCTATTTATCTACAATAGTTATCTTTATGTGCCAGTCGCTGGAACATTGCATTTAGACTTCTGATTTTATTACTATCACCTTTTGCTTCTTGTCTATCTTTAGGAATTTTAAGCGTCTTGTTAACCATCTATTGAGGCTTTTCATTTCTTTTGATCACAAGAATAGTCTGCGCCTTGTTCCTTGATGATATCTCTAGTTTCAGCCCATAGTTCTGGTTCCTGTTCAATTGAACTTACTTAGTAATGAAAATCTATTCTTTATGGCAATATAAGAGACCTAGAATAAAGTGGAAAGTGATGCAGGATAGAAAGGAAAGAGGGGGAATGAGTGTTCCTAATTGGTATATATATTATCAAGCGGCCGCCCTAGTTTGGATAAAAGAATGGGTAACCTTGGAAAATACAAGAACTCTTGCATTAGAAGGGCATGATTTGTATATGGGGTGGCACGCTTATATATGGTATGAAAAAGATAAAATTTATTCCAATTTTGGAAGACATGTGTTAAGAGGAGCACTGAATATCATATGGAGTAACATAAAAAAATATTTTATAGAAAGACCCCAAAATGGGTCTCCCCCCTAGAAGCTTTTATTAACCCGTCATTAATAACAATGAGTAAGAAAGAAAGTTATCAAACTTTGTTAAGTAGAAATAATAAATTAAAAACAGAAGATAAACTACAACAAGAAAATAGCTTAGTATGGTGGGAGCAGATAATGTTAAGAGACAGATACAAAAAAGATATGCTAAGGGGATTTGAAGATCAAAATAATGAATTGGATAAAATCTGGTTGTCCTCGAACGACAAATTGATACAGAAGTTGTATATATTCTTGCTGGATGATTATGAACAAGATGAAATAATTAAAACGGTGATGTTTACGTGGATGAAAGAAATAGGCAAGAAGATAGAATGGGAGCAATGGTCAAAAATTTGGAAAACCAGTAAATATATGAAAGCCATTGCATACAAGGAAAATATATATAAAATGTTCCACAGATGGTACTGGTCCCCGGATAAATTAGCCAAATGTTATGTTGGATACTCCAACTTATGCTGGAAATGTAAAACGAATATAGGGACCTTTTATCATATGTGGTGGAAATGCAGTAAAATACAAGGCTATTTGAAAATTGTGCGCAAGATAATTCAAGACATTCTAGAAAAGAATCTAGCATTAAAACCAGAAATATATTTGTTAAATATAATTCCAGATGGCTATAATGTGCAAGAATCATATTCATTAGTTTATATAATAACAGCTGCTCGACTACTATTGGCTAAAAATTGGAAATCTGAGACAATACCCTCTAGAGAAGAACTAACGCTGAAGATATTAGAACTAGCAAAAATGGATAATTTGAGTTTGACATTACAAAATAAAAATGAGAAGGTACATATGAAGAGATGGCTAAAGGTGTATAAATGGTTAGAAGAATTGTTAGAAGTTTAATGACGCTAAAATATATGTAATGTATACAGATGGAATGTCCGATTTGTTAAACTAAAATAAAAAAATTTATACAAAAAAAGAAAGAAAAATCTATTCTTTAGATGGTCTTTAGACTTTTCAAGAATGTTGCTTAGATTGTATTTTGGCATTATTAATGTCTCAGTGTTTTTCTTTAGCTTACCGGTGGGTACCTACTCTTCAATGGCTTATTCTTGTCTGAATGTATGGGGACCACACACAGTAGTATTCAGACAAGATAAAAGAACATGAACGACATTGCAGACCGGGCCAACCTGAAAAATCAGAAGTGGCTGAACATAGCCTAACTCAAACAGGACACAGTATTTTATTCCAAGACACTGAAAGGCTGGACAACACATCCAATTAACATGTCAGATTACACAGGGAAGCCATTGAAATTCATAAATATAAACACAATTTCAACAGGAAAGAAGAGAGTTTAAAAATAAATAGGGCATGGTTTCCTGTCCTGAAAAACACAAAATGCTCTACATCTTACAATAGATCAGGCTCGCCTGGGTTCTCCAGGTCAGGACAGCAACTGAATATTGTTATATCATTATACTAATCTGTGTATCAGGTTCTTTGAATTCCCAGCTTTCATTTTAAAACGAAGTAAGTCTCTAGTCCTTTTCATTGTGGAGATACAAGGAAAATATCTCTTAAATAAAAGGGGTTAATTCCTTAACTTCTTCAAATGAAAGCTGTAATAATGTTATAACGATATAATGCTATTCAGTTCTGAATATTAAAAATAAAACAGGCACTGATTAATGGCAATGGACTAAAGTGGCTACACCAACTGTCTGTTGTTAGTTCTGTGCAGTTTAAACACTTCTATACTTAGTTTTCAGAATTTGATCAAATACTTGCATTCTTAGTTGCTTGTGAATAATGCTACATGTTATAGTTTTTGATCTAACTTTTAAAAATAACTGCAATGTGCTATTTTACTTGTTTTTAAATGGTTTATGTTTTTCAAGGAGTAAATGATGGATTCCAAAGAAAATGGATTATACAAAGTCACAACTTTTCAGCAAGCAATTTCTTCTTGTTGTGGTGCTGTTATGACATGTCTTTTGGGTAAGTATAAATATTTTAAGCCACTTTGGCTATTTCCACAAGGTTTTGTCCCGCCTTCCCCATAGCATCGTATGGATACGTGCACTTCCTGAGGTTTCCCTGGCTTGTCTCTGATCTTTCGCAAATTTTCTTTGTGCTGAAGTTTTGGGAAAGATTGTAGCAAAGCCTGGGTTGCTGCCATTTGGGCAGTAAAATTCAGAATTTCACAGCCCTGCCCACAGCAGCTATTTCCCCACAATTGCTATGGGGGGGAAGGGGCTTTTTTAAATAAGCAGCTCTATTATTGTATCAATACAATGATATAATAGTATGTATAACAGGTTCTCTGAAAAGTCTCTAGTTCTTTTGTTATGGAGATAATAAGGGAAAGGCATATCTCCACAATGAAAGGGGCCAGAGTCATAGGCTTTTAAAAAATGAAACCTAGGAATTCAGATAATCTGTTACGCATATTGTTGTAATGTTATATGAATATAACAATATTCAATTGCCAACTTAAAAAAAACTGAGAAAAGAGAAAGAAGCAGTGCTGCCACTGCTGCCTTCTTGCTTGCCTGCCCAGCTTCTTCCCTTCACTTTCCCCTGTGATACCAGCATTCCCCCCTAACCATCACTGCTTGTTTGCCCTCTGTCTCTGCCCTTCTCCTTCCTCTTGAGCATCCCCATTCCACTGCCACCAGCAGGTACCTTCATCCTCACCTCATGACCCTAACAGTGTTTTTTGTGGTTGTTATGAAATCCTAAAGAACGGTGATCAAAACCTTGCAATGCAATGTCACAAGATCCCTTTTCATTTACATTGGCTCCTCCGTCAGGGGTGGGGGTGGTTTAAAACTGTACTGGTGCATTGATCCACACTCCAGGATCCAGGTTCAGAATTAGATACAATGAACATAAGAACGTAAGAGAAGCCAATGTTGGATCAGGCCTGTGGCCCATCTAGTCCAACACTCTGTCACACAGTAGCCAAAAATACCAGGTGCCATCAGGAGGTCCATCAGTGAGGCCAGGACACTAGAAGCCCTCCCACTGTCCCCCCCCCCAAGCACCAAGAATACAGTGCATCACCTGCCCCAGCCTGTGAGCTCCTATCTATACCTTGTGGCTAATAGCCACTGATGGATCTCTTCTCCATATGTTTATCCAGTTCCCTCTTGAAGCTGTCCATGCTTGTAGCTGCCACCACCTCCTGTGGCAGTGAATTCCATGTGTTAATCACTCTTTGGGTGAAGAAGTACTTCCTTTTATCTGTTCTAACCCAACCGCTCAGCAATTTCATGGAGTGCCCACGAGTTCTTGTATGGTGAGAAAGGGAGAAAAGTACTTCTTTCTCGACCTGCTCTATCCCATGCATAATCTTATAAACCTCGATCATGTCACCCCTCAGCCGTTGTTTCTCCAAGCTAAAGAGCCCCAAGCGCTTTAACCTTTCTTCATAGGGAAAGTGTTCTAACCCTTTGATCATTCTAGTTGCCCTTTTCTGCACTTTTTCCAATGCTATAATATCCTTTTTGAGGTGTGACCAGAACTGTACACAGTACTGCAAATTAGGACGTATCATCGATTTATACAGGGGCATTATGATACTGGCTGATTTGTTTTCAGTTCCCTTTCTAGTAATCCCCAGCATAGCGTTGGCCTTTTTTATTGCAGTCACACACTGTCTTGACATTTTCATTGAATTATCTACTAGGACTCCAAGATCCCTCTCTTGGTCTGTCTCTGCCAGTTCCGATCCCATCAACGTGTATTTATAGTTAGGATTTTTTGCTCCAATGTGCATCACTTTGCACTTGGCCACATTGAACCCCATTTGCCACGTTGACGCCCACTCGCCCATCCTCGACAGATCCCTTTGGAGTGCCTTGCAATCCTCCCTGTGACACAACTTCGTGTCATCTGTAAATTTAGCCACTTCACTGCTTACTCCCAACTCCAAATCATTAATAAACAAGTTAAAAAGCATCGGACCAAGTACTGATCCCTGCAGTACCCCACTGCTTACTACCCTCCAGTGAGAAAATTACCCATTTATACTCACTCTCTGTTTCATATTAATCAGCAAGTTTTTGATCCACAAAAGGACTTGTCCTTTTATCCCGTGACTATTGAGCTTACTTAGGAGCCTTTGATGTGGAACTTTATCAGAAGCTTTCTGGAAGTCAAGGTAAACAACACCTATTGGGTCCCCCTTGTCCACATGTTTGTTCACTCCCTCAAAGAACACTGAGACAAGATCTTCCCTTACAGAACCCATGCTGAGTCTTCCTCAATAGTTTTTGTTCATCTATGTGCCTATTAATTCTTTTCTTAATAATAGTTTCCACCAACTTACCCAGTATCGAAGTCAGACTGACTGGCCTGTAATTTCCCGGATCTCCTCTGGAACCCTTTTTAAAGATGGGAGTGACATTAGCTACCTTCCAGTCCTCAATGATCTCGCTATGGATCATGTAGAGAGTTAGCTTCTCCACCAACAAGATCCAACAAGATTGGAAGAGTGCGCAGGGCTAACTTCAAATAATACCTGTATTGAATTAGGTATAATAAATTATTATTGAACTTACATAAATTTTCTAAAGGGTCTGTTTCTTACTCTTTGTTTTGTGGTACACCTCTCTTTGAGAAGACAATCATTTCTTTATATATTGGGAATTATGATAAAATCATTTGAGCCAGATGAGACAGGTTTTATCCAAAGCAAGTCTACTGAGAAGTAGTCCCATTATTTTTCATTGGGGCTTACTCCCAGGAAAGTGTTCTTAGGACTGCAACCCTTCCATTTCAAGTGCTCATAAGGAGAACTTTAAAATCAGTAGATAAGAGCACAAAGTATATATCTAGTTCATCATATTTGTGTCCTGATTCCTGAATAAACTGTTACTAATCTGGCAAGAATTTCTTCAGCCATGTAATCTGGAGTTTGTTTATAGTAATGCTGATATTGTATTTATTCTAACTCATTCATTTAGTTATATTTTTAATTTGTGAGCCACACATAAATGTATGAAGACAAAGAAAATTCTTCATTTAAAATATATATATGACATTGTGTTTTGGGTTTTTTTTGCCCTAGTGACACCTCTAGATGTTGTCAAAGTCCGACTACAAGTCCAGAGCAATCCATCCCTTAAAGGTACATCTGTAGTGACTGCCTTGTTTTATACTTTGGTAATGTGTTGTGAGTGTGCGAGGGAAAGTGTGGCATGTTGATTACATATATGCAAGGGTCAGAGTATGAATGTTCAATTTAATCCAGAGTTAATAATAATTCTGATGCTACAAGGTGAAAACATGCTTAATATAGGAGTAAAGTGGAAGAATTAAATGGGAAATCATATTTGTTCGTCAGCATTTCCTTCTTGGACAATATACATGAAGTTCCTCTGACATATAACCACATCACACAGGGAAGTCAGAATAGCAGTGTATTAACTAAGTGAGAAATATAATACACAGGCTTAAACCTTAAGATGACTTTTCCATACACATACTTCCTACACATACAAATATGCTTAAAGTCATTTTTTGTCACCTTCCCTGTGTTAAGTCTGTGTATAAGTCTGCTTGTTTATTGCCTTCATTTTTTTACCAGGAAAATCTTTTCTGGATTCTGATGGCCTTACAGATCATGTTTGTGTCTATGAAAATGGAAGCAGTAAAACTGGTCACAAGGCATCTGGACGGTTTAATGGCATGAGGGTAAGGTGAAATATATGCACAATCCCACAAATACTAGTTTTCTAATATAAATTAGTATTTGTTAGAAAATTAATTCTATATATCCAAGGTGTTTTGTATTCAGAAAAGGAAATGAATACACAAATGTTAAATACTTACCATAATCATTACTGTGGTAAAACCTTGCCTAGATTTTGAGATACTTCTGTTTCCCAAAAAATAAAAAGTTTGAAAGTCAGAAAGCTACTTCAAATAAAATCTTCAGATACAGCTAGAATGGTCCATCTGTCCTATTTATTGGAACGTATAGTGATTTCAGATGCCCAATGACATTAGCAGGCAAATGACAATAGTAGGTGAATAACAATAGGAGGCATGGTTAGATTTAGGTGAGATGCAGAGGGGTAATAGGTCTTGATTCAATCCCAGTGGATGCATTGTCTTGAGCTTCATTATCAATTGCAATTCAGCAGTCTCTCTTTCTGATCTCCCTTTGAAATAAATTTGTAAGAGAACTGCTACTTACAGCTATTAAAGTAAAAGCTATGAGATCAGTATACACTATTCTAAATTTCATCCGAGTTGAAAGAGGTGGTCTTGACTCCCCCGTATGTTGAAGGTGTCCCTATGTAAGCTTCCGTCCTAGATCAGTTTGGGGACTGAGTTTGTTAGATCAAAAAAGCGCAAAGGGAGCAAAAAGTAAATTTGAGAGTGTTTTCATGGGGCTGACTTAGTTAAAAGCACTTTTATCATAGGGCATTCACCATCCTACAAACCACAAGCTTTTCAAACCATGCCCACATATATGGAGCTACTTTTGTACATATTGGTGGCCAAAACTGCAGATCTGTTTTGCTTATTACATTGTTCAAAAGTAAATACTGTTTCTGATACTGAGTGAATTTCTGTTTTATTTAAAGTGGAAAGCTAGCCATATAAGCCCAGAAATATAGGATGAAATGTATCAGCCTATATGGTTGCCAAACTGGTGACCTGTGTTATGTTTATTGTTTATACTGCATTTAGTCTTAGCTTATAATGTCTTGTTATTAAGTGTCTGAAGCATTTTTGGTTGACTAATAAACTGAACCGATTTAAAAAGTTGATTAGACCAGAATAAAGGAATAGCTATGACAGTAAGAAATCAAGCTAAAATATTATTGATATAAAAGAATTAGGTTTTATTGCTGACATAGTTGCAAGAGTCCTGCTGGAATTTTCTTAAACTACAATCCTTAGAAGGATGTAGCTGCTTAGAATACCTGTAAGTTACTGCTTTCTGTGCCCTCAAAGTTTCCTATGATAGTTAAGCAGTGGCTGTAAAATTTAGTTGTATGTATCGAGACCAGGCTTGCTCTGGTCTTTCTGAATCATTCTGCCAATACAGCTGTTTTCAACCTTTTTCAGACCTAGAACTCACCTTTAATCCCAGGAGACAGCATGGGAACCAGTGAGCTGCAAGCACACAGCAAGCAGTCACAAGAAACCAAAGTCATGTGATAGGAAGAGGAGGTGCCAGAGTCTTTGAATTTGCCAGTGCTAGTAAAGGAATCCTCTTCATTGCTGAGTGACCTGTTCTTGCTTTCCTGCTGCTGCTCTTTTCAGTTTGTGTGCAAAGAGAGCCAGAAGGCATAGCTCCTGTGCTCTCTATGTATATGTGCTAGCAGCATAAAGCAGCAAAAAGGCAGCATTATGTCCCAATCCAAGACCACTGTGTTGTAAGGCAATATAGTTACAATAAACCAGGTAGATTGTCCTATGTTCATTTGAAACAAAGATGTCTATGACTGCTGACCACCTCTTGGTAAGAAGAAGAAGAGATTGGATTTATACCCTACCCTTCACTCGGAGTCTCAGAGCGGCTTACAAACTCCTTTCCCTTCCCCTTCCCACAACAGACACCCTGGGAGGTAGGCAGGGCTGAGAGAGCTCTGAGAGAACTGTCCTTGAGAGAACAGCTCTGACAGAACTATGGCTTGCCCAAGGTCATCCAGCAGCTGCAAGTGGAGGAGTGAGGAATCAAACCCGGTTCTCCGAGTCCACGCACTTAACCACTACACCAAACTGGCTCACAAGCAAGGTTCTTTAGATTGGGATTCTGGTAGACTTTATGGGAGGCATAGAACTGCCTCCTTTCTCTGTCTCCTCTTCCTCAGAATGTCTAGGTAAATACATTATATGACATGCCATTACTTCATTGTTCATTTCCCTGCCCTGCCTCACACTGGCAATTGTCCATGAGAGTATAGTGAAATAATATTGCTACAAGCATTGTGTTAAATGTTGAAGAAAGAGCGAGACAAAGGTACAGTTGGACTGCCAGAACTCCATGTTTTTGGCAACATTTAGTTAAGTCGTTACATCAGCTGTATAACTGCAGAGATGCTTAGGGGGAAGGCAGGCTTTCAGATATTTAAAATAAATAAATATTTTCTTCCTATTATAATATTTGTCATCTATCAAACTTTTCCTGAGTCCTGATGTTAGAAACAAACTCTTCTCCCAAAATATGGACACATGCCAGTTTTAAGGATAAGGAAGCCTAATTATAATACAGCTATAACTGTTCACATTACTGGCAGTGATTAGAGCCTTGCTGCACAGTCATAAACAGAGTTATACCCTTTTAGGTCTATAGGAGTCAGTGGACTTAGATGGGTATATGTTTAGGATTGCAATTTTTGAACAGTGATATTTTTGCAGCTTTTTTCATTTTCCAGCCACTGGAATAACAGACAAGGTTGATAGAAATTTATAGCCTTTTATTTCTGTACTTGGATCTTTTAGGATGCTTTTGTGAAAATTGTTAAAAGAGAAGGTGTGAAAACACTGTGGAGTGGACTGCCTCCTTCACTGTAAGTCACGTTTTCTTGTTGTCTTGGATAGTATATCTCTGCTATTGTATTGGCAGCAACAATACTGACAACAAACAGAAATCCATAGAGAAAAAATACTCTCTTCACCTCCCTCATCCCTGGTAGAAGCAGACGTGTATATATTGAAAAGTAAGAAGTAAATAGTATAATGAGTGTAGTTAAAATTAAATTTAAAAACGTTGTTAATCATATGTCTTTCAACCAATTGATAACATCTATATTTGAATAAATTATGAAGTAAATATTATTTAATATGGCCACATGTATTGCAGCAGGCTCAGAAGCTGTATTCTATTCCATGTGAAAGAGAATATTTCTTCAATTATAACACCTGTATTTCTTGGCAGGAGGAGTATCTGTGTTATAGTAGGGGACCCTCAATGAGTGGAAGGGGGAAGGGAGGAATCATATCCCTTCATGACAGGTTCTCCTGAAAGTTCCCACCTTGTCCCCCCTCCCTTTGCAGAGCTGATAAAAACTTTTCCAGTTCCAGCTATGATTGATACTGAGTTGTAGGGCATCAAACCCAAGGAAGAGACAGAGTTGCTGGTATTGTCTTACAAAGGTAAATTAGTACTTGTGCCCAGATAGTTCACAATACTCAGCATTTAAAGAACTTGTAAAAAGTTGTAAATATTAAGAAAATGGTCAGGGGAAGGTGGGTTGGAGGGATGAATTTGGGTGTAGTAATTATCACTGGTACTATCCAGAAAGTGCCTATGGTGTACATGGAACCTATTCTATGTAATATTCAGTACTGTAATCGTAGTATTTACTAGAGATATATAATATTGTCCTCTTGAATATTGGAAGAATGCAACATATCTGCAGCAGAATGTGCAACTCTGTAGTGATATACAAACATCTCTTCTTGAAAGAATATCAGCTGTGGACATGTTTCACAAAAAAGTCATTTAAAATAGTTTAGAGGCATGATCATATTTTAATTAGTTAACTGATTGGTTAGAGGGAAGACAGTTAAGTGACCAAAAGATTTCAAATGATTGACAGGTCTCACTAAATATTTATATTTATTTTAGAGCAGTGTCAGTTCCAACAACAGTAATTTATTTTACCTGCTATGATCAACTACGTGATGCCTTCATTTCTAAACTAGGAGAAGATAATGACTACATTCCACTTATTACAGGTGGCATAGCCAGATGTGAGTCAAATGATCTCTAGTATCTAGTTTCCTATACAACATCTTTTCTGTTGAACTGTATTTAATATGGATTAAAAAGGAGTTGGGTGGTCGCATCAGTTGTCACAAGAATTGTACAAGAAACTAACCATTATGACTTTCAAGTTGCACTGTTACTCTTCTGTTATGTGACTGTAGTGTTTGTATGTAGACATAAAAGAAATGTCAAATGGTTTATACTCCTTAGAATTAAACAAACCGGATTTTTGCCAAGGGCAGACATATAACAAAGATTAAATGATCAGGAGTGCCCTTTGCACACTCCTTCCTCAAATTTCTCCTCCCTTCCTTTTCAGCACTAACCATTGTTAAAGCTATGTCTGTACCATGGTTAAGTATAGTTGCCCTTATATTTTTATTTATTGTCTGCAATTATATCCCACTCCTCAGCCAAAAATGTGACCATTGCTTACAATTAATTGTAACCAACAGCAATATCATTATTTTCAATAACAAAATAAAAGAGCAACATAGCTTCACAGTTACTTCTGAGCATTTTTTAAAGCAACGGTTAACTAGTATATGCAGTCCAAGAAGAAAACCCTATAGGCTTTCACCAGTGACATAAAAATAGAAAGAAGTCCAGTTAGCAACTTTACTGCAGCATTCTGGGCCAGCTGTAGCTTCTTAACCTCCCCCAAACAGTGTCTTATGTACAGTATATTGCAGTAGTCCAACACAGGTTACCAAGGCATCTTTTGTAGTACCTGTATCTGTTGTCTAGAAAAAGGCACAGTTGAACATACGATGAACATTGGGTCATCTATTTTATATGCTCTCCATGACCTTTCCAGATACCTGTAATCTGAGATCCTTTAACTGAAGGTACCAGGGATTGAACAGAACATTCATTGAGCCACAGCTACTGTCTGTCTCAAACAGTATGATGGCAGCAAACCCGTTTGTATAAATCTGATCTACCCCAGTCATGTATCAAGTGGGGAGTTGAAACAGTTTTAAGAGAAAAAGGGATGTACAGATGAGGGGAGCTGAACCCCCTTCCTGCTTTCTCTTTCTGCAGACCTATATGCCTCCTCCCCCCATCCAGTCAGTCCTTAATATTGGAAGTGAACCCAGCTGGGAGAAAACTGTTTAGGGCAAGATCTACAGGGTGGTAGACTGTGGGAAATGTGCATACAGATGAAGATGGTTCTTTAAATTGGGTCCCATCTTTTTGTTATACAAGATTGGAGCAAATTCAGGTTTAAACAAATGAGACTGTTAATATATGTTGCTTGACTCTCAAACTACAAAACTGGTCCAGTAGAGCCTGCAAAGTTGTTCCTTCGGTAGAAGTGCAACCCCATTCAGAACAGACTGAGGCCTCATGCTAATTCCTAGATCAACTGACCTGCCCCCATCAGCAACTAAGTTTGAGCTTGTTTGTTAGACTGCAACCTTCAAAAAAATCCATTGTCTCATTGGGGTTTGCAGAGTAAAGAAATAATTTGTATATCACCAAACTGCACATCTTCAAAAGACCTCATGTAACTTTTAAACAGCTTAGAGGATAAAATGAAACCTTGCTGCCCTTCACAAGTTAGTTCCCAGGGAATGGAGCAATGATTCCCCAATATTACCTTCCATAAACCATTTTTCTGATAGAAGTAGAACAACTACAAAGCAGTGTCTGCAGATCCCAGTCCTGCAGCCACAAGCTATTCTGCTTCCTTGCCCAAGAATGGAATATTCAGTTGGTCTATAATTTCTCAGTCCAAAGGGTCCAGTGAGGACATGTTCAAAACAGGTGTTACAACAGCATCTTTAAGGGGCCCAGAGACCTTACAATCTTCTGTAAGGAGCCCTTAACCACACCCCTCATCAAATAATCCACTCTCTCCCAGGATGCTAGAATTAGCCAGGTACACCAAGGATCTGATGGTTGTAGAACACTTGGCTGTTTAAAAGAAAAAGAAAAAACCTTGCCCATATCCCTAAGTTGCAAGAAGAAAAATGCATTTGAGCTAGGGTTCCCAGCAACCTGTAAGAAAAGTTCTGTCCATTTAATAGAGGCTTAATTGGTTACCAGGTGATGTTATTTACCTCTGTGCCATGAAAAGCTTCAGCCACCCATTTCCACACATTAAGAATCTATTAAAGGGGACAGGACATTTTTATCCTGGCTGGTTGGCAACCTTAATTTGAGCAGTTGCCAAAAAAAAACCCCTTGAAAACCCTTATTTGACATATTTCCAGGCAAAGAATCAAAATCAGAGTGGATTCTGCAAAGTATCAAACATGTCATAGTTCGCCATACCCTGGTCCATAAGCCCAGATCTCATAAAACCATAAGCCACTAAGAAAAGCTCTGCTAGACAACTCTGCACAGTAGTGACAGAATTTGAAGCAAGGGTTTTAATCAGATTTAAAACTAATCTTTGTTAGGGGTTACTTTGAAGGTGTAACACTAACCATATTTAGTGCTGTGATGAGGGAATGTGCACAAGGAGGGGAGGGGAACGCAAAACATGGAAGAGGAGGAGTCCAAAGGACACTCCCTGTCTCTTTGCCAGGGCTAAAAGGAAGGGACACTTTTCTTCTGTACTGTATTTTATAGTAGATTTTCAAATATTTCAAACAAAACTAACAGGAAAGGCCAGTTTGTTAATACTAATGTAAATGGATTCTGACTTGTTAAGATTAAGGGGACATTGAAATAACTTTTAATCTGGGTGGGTGGGAAACGGTATAAGATGAAAGTTCTATTTTTAAATAAAATCAGTGTTAAAGAGATGAAAAGCCATATGCTTATATTTAATATGTAACATTAAAGTTAAAGTTTTAGTTGTTTAAAGCCAACATTTCAAACAGTATCTAACATCTTGATTGCTCACCATACAAGTTTGAATTTGCTGTGTTTATGTCAATAGCTATCTCCATTATGTAATTATTCATTCTTGGTAAAGCATCAAAAAAGTGTGAAAGAAATGCAGAAAGAAAATATATTCTCATAAACACTCATGGAAAAACTGCTTTATTACCAGACATCTTGAAGTACTTTCTCTTATTTTTCTCAATTATAGTGGGTTCGGCTACTGTAATCAGTCCAGTTGAATTGATCAGGACAAGAATGCAGTCTCGCCAGTTAACTTACAAGCAGTTGTGTGCTTGCATTAGTAGTAATGTTACCAAAAATGGCTGGCTTTCACTCTGGAAAGGATGGGGTCCCACTGTTCTTAGAGATGTTCCATTTTCAGGTATGATTTGGTTTTCAGCATCAGAAGTTCCTGTTATATTCTTTAGCTGCTGTAGGTTTTTTTCTTTCTTTTGATGCTTTTACAAAATGGTCAGATTGGTTAAGTCTAAAGAAAAATTCAGTTCAGAGTTCTGATCCTTAATTTGAAGGCCCTAACAGCTTGGGGCCCAGGGTACTGGAAGGACTGCCTCCTCCTGTACTGTCCAACCTACCAGTTAAGATCTTTCTCACAAACATGTCTGTTCTCTGTGTTCTTCCACCAGTGGTGAGGCAGGTGGTGACCAGGTACATGGCTTCTAGCCTGAGAACTGTTTTATGAGACTTATTTTTTGTTTTAAGCAGCTACATGTTTTATGTTGGTTTTATGGTCTAGCTGGATTTAGAATGCTGGGTTTTAATAGTTAATTTTTAATGACTTATGCTGTTGTGTTTTACTTTGTAAGCTGCCTCAAGCAGGCTCTCTGGAGAGGTGGCATAATATTTTCAAAATAAATAAATGCAAGGCATTGTTTGTCACTTGTGAAATATGGCCATGCAGAGACATATCCCATTGGTGCCTATGATAATTACATAATAGTGATGCAGAATTGTTTCCTCTCTACCATGCCAGTAGCATTGAGTGGAACTTTTAAAAACAGATTTAAACATTTTTATTACAATTTTGGGGAAGCTTGCTATCATGTTCCATCTCAGCATATGATTGTTCTTTTAACCATATTTTTTCCTAGGAAACAGACATCACCTCCCTACTGTGCTAATACTGTGCCACTGTATGAACACTTTAGGGTTCATTATTTTAAGCTGCATTGCAAACAAGTCTTCAGAAGTTATCAGTTTGCCAATTTTTATTAGTCTGTTGGCCCTCACATTTATTGGAGTTAAAACATTTTTAAATCTTTAAGATCCTTAAAAATAATAGTATGCAAACAGCTGATCTGGGATTAGAATAATAAATCAAAAGAGAGAAAGAAAATACTAGTTGTAACTTGAGGCAACACAATTAATTTTCCTTTTCCTTCCAGAATCCTAAAACACACACTTATTTTGCCCAAGTGGATATGCAACAATCTGATCCTATGCCTTTTTTATGTGAAGTTAACATAATGATAAATGTTGATGTTGTTCAGCTGCTGTGCATAGTTGGAAATAAACCCTAATTTACTCAGATTTCCTTCTAACTAAACATGTGGAAACAGAGCTGTGAATGAACTGCATCTAAAAGATTGGGATTTACTCCCATAGCTACTGATACAAATATTTTTTAAAAAATACTTTCAGATTCCAAATAACTATCCAACAGTAATATGGGTATTCCTCCCCCTTCTGTTACTGTTATTATGGGTGATCTATGGCAGCAGTCTTCAGCTTTCCCACCTTTGAACACCAAGAAGCAGTAGGGATCTCCTGAGTTGCATGCACATGACATCAGAGACAGGTGACAGGAAGAGGAGGAGCCAGAGCATCCAAACATAGTTGTACTTAAAAGGAATCCTCTCCAGTGTTGAATGAACTCACCATACCATCCTGCAATTACACCATACCATCCTCTAACACAATTACTAAAGCACAGTCAGGGTAAACTTTGGTTGATTTAGCAATTGCATCATGATCCTGCAAATCCCTTTTTAATTATAGTTATTTGACAGTCAGGTTCTTGAATGCTGCAGTTTGTCAGGCCTGGTGCAGACAGACTTTCAAGTTTTGTTTTAATGCTATCCATGTTCTTTGGGCCAAAGAATTATTTCTGTAAACCTTTTTATTTATAGGTTGCAGACTCAAGATTGAAGGGGTTATATGAACAAAATACTGCCATTAGTAATATTAGGGAAAGGACAATTTTATTTTATTCCATAATGTGATATGAGCAAAGGTTGTACCATGACAAATGGTTAATAGATTTATGGAAACCTAGGGTTTTGATCCAGTTGCTTGCTGAACCTTATACCGACGTTGGATATTAGATCATTAGTGTACTTTTTCCATTTTCAATTTGTCTTCTGTTAAAAAGAGGTTCTTGTTGCAGTTTTCTGACTTCTGGCATGTTATGCTCTTTTTCCCTAAAGCGCTTTATTGGTATAACTATGAATACTTCAAAAAAAGATTGTGCAAGAGATCAGGTAAACATGAGGCAACATTCCTGATCACCTTCTCATCAGGAGCAGCAGCTGGTTCTGTAAGTGTCTTGATGAAAATGTTAGATATGATATGCAAGTTTTTACCTAAAAAAATGAAAATATAGGAGCCTGAGACTGATATATTGAAAATAACATTAGACGTTCCTAGATCCCATTGAAATAAATAGCACCTAAGGATCCTATTTGTTTAAACGGAATATCAGCATGAATACCTTTCTTTGTATTGGATGCAGTCACTGTAATCCAAGTCTCTATATATATTCGGATGTACATACAGCACTTTGCATAGACAGGGTACCCCTAGTTATTTCAGTGGAAGGGACAGATCCATACATGCAAAGAAATGCACACACAGAAAGCCATTCTAAGTGAGAAACTTAATGCACTTAGGCCACAATCAAGTAAAAGTGTTTAAGCCTGTTGGAATCCATGGTGTGCTTAACTCTGTTGGGTTGTAGCCTAGCCACTTCTCATTTTACTTTCATTAAAAAAAAAAAGAATGGAGCAGCAGTACCTATTTTCAGGAAGACATTATAGTTGTACATGGCAATAAAATAAGTCAATATGAGTCAGCCTTAGTCTGTATATTAATAGACATTATTATCAGGGGGGCTTGATGACACAGGCATGGGAGTATTGCCTGGGCCGCTAAAAACTGTATATGATAACTGCATAAAATTCAGTTATACCTAGTGTTTTGAAACAGGTATTGTATTGTGTTAATCATTTCGGTGCTTTAAACAAAGCAAGGAGCTTTACATAGTTCACTCCTGTGCATGTTTGTTCAGAAGTATGTATATGCTATATTGCAAACTTGCTGGTTTCCCTTTCTTTTCACACAGAGTTTTTGCAGTAAATACTATTTTGATTCTGTCTAAGCACTGAATTTTATAGGAATAGGCTCAGGCTTTCTGTTTAAAGTGTAAAATTTTGCAGTGCATCAATAATATGCTTTCTGTTCCACAAACTGCAGTCCCATTCAGTTCCATGGGACATTAATACTTGTAATTGTATGCTAGATTATGGCTAACAGGGCAGCTGTAAAACTGTCAACCAGCATGTATACAGTATATATTTTATACTTGCATTGACATTGGAACACTGGAAATGTTGCATCTGACTACTGTACAATTCTTCCACCAGATTGCTGCTTTATTAACGTTACCATTTGATGTAGTAAAAACACACAAACAGACTGAAATTTGGGAATCTGAAACAACACCCAGTAAGATCTTAATCTTTTGCTAAGCATCTTTTTTCCAGATCTGCCATCTAATGCAATATTTAAGAAATCTCCTCCTGAAGAGTTCTCACCATCATCTGTACCTTTGTAACACTGTGGATAAACGACTACAGCGTATACTATGTTGCTGGCCTTAAAGAGTGTTTGGAAGCTGCAGCTAGTGCAAAGTGCAGTTGTCCAGGGCCAGCCCATTCATTAGGCAGCTGTAAGCAATTGTTCAGGTTGCCCTCCATCCATCAGCAGGCTTGGCCCAGCCCTCTTCCCTCTGCCTTGTCTCCTTGGCAATGGGTGAGGGTGGCAGGTGGCAGTTTCCTACCTCACCTTGATGCCTTGCCTTGGTGCGAGGGGTGCAACGAAGGCAGGCATCATGCCACCACACCTTGCCTCACCTAGGTGCAGGGACAAGGAGGATGGGCAGCTGTTTCTTGCCTCCTCTCACTACCTCCCCTTGGTATGGGAAGGTGAGGATAAGCAGTGGCTTCCCAAGGGCACACCTTCCCTCTCTGCAGTGGGAGAAAGGCACGAGCAAGGATTTTTTTTGGGGGGGGGGTGTATTGAGTGATCACTTACCCAGGGTGAGTGTGGGTGAAACTTTGCCAGTCCTCCAGCTGTCTACCTCTTATGGGTTAGATCCCATCAAAGATCGGGGGGGGGAGTTCTGTTATCCTGTGGCAGCCCTCCAATTCCATTTCATGTTACTCATGGGGGTCCCCTGTCCCTCAGCAGCAGCATTTCAGAGGGCATTTTGGGCTGGTTTGGGTGCAGAAAGGTGGAGAATTGCTCTTTCATGCATAGAATTTAGGCAAGATCTAACCCTACATGACCAGGAAGGTGAAATCATTTTCAGCCAGTTCTGAAGAAATTGCCCTGGTTCTAGTTCAAAGGGCTGGTGCTGCAAAGTTCTAAAAGGAAATAATCCAATTCATCTTAGAGAACATCTTTCTGTACGAAAATATTGTTCTGAGTTCACATAGAGAGGCCTTTTTCACTTGACCTATTCATAGTAGACAGAAAACTTGTAGAAGGAGAACAAATTGTACATGCATAGGCTCCATCTTCATTATGGGGAACACTGCTTTTTTAACATTCCTGACTAGGGATTTGAACAACCCAGGAAAATGGAGGATCTTCTTCGTGGTCTCTGTGCTTCACACCAATGGGATCTAGTGCGCCTGCGCTGGATCTGCCGGTGCCTGGCCCAACTCAGCATGCTCAGGAGCCCTAGTGAGCATGCCCAGAAGGGCAGGCACGGACATCCTGCCAGTTCTTTCCTTACCGCCGCGCTGAGCTGACCTGTCTTCGAGAGGTCTGGCCGGATCGTTGTTTTTCGTCACTTTTAGTGATCAGCTCTCAATTTTTTCTCTCAGTTTCTCTTCTATTTTCCTTTTTCTTGTCGTTTTTTTTTTTAAAGGAGAGTTTCTTTTTTCATCGTCTGAGGTAAAATTGCCTTTGGGCCGCCGCCACCCCCCCCCCCCCCCCACCCCTCCTCCCCCTTTGGTCCAAATTGGCTCCTCTAGACAGTCATAAGTACTGTATTTTCTGTCTTGGGGAGACCCACAATCCTGACTCCTGTAAACATTGTGCGCAATTTTCAAACCAAACTCGGAAGAACAGAGCGGCATGCTTGAGAGTTTTCCTCTTGGAGAAAGCGCTTCAACCGATGGCTGACCCGCTGGTCACTTCATCCGTCGCTATGTCTTCCGCTACCGACGCATCGGCTTTGAAACCGTCGACGTTGAAGGCTAAGTCTGTTTCCAATACCGAGAGGTCGAAACCGAAACCTAAGGTACCAAACGTTCCTTCCACAGCGTCACCCCCTGCT